CACGGAAAAGGGTCATGGCAGCAGCTAGCCCACCGATATATATATATATACGTTAACAAAGCGTGTATACAGCGAACGAGAAGGCAAGCCGTGGCTGCAAACGAGAGCGAACTAGCCAGCCAAGGCCGCGATCTGGCTTCCCTCCAGCCGGCCCTTCGAGCTCGCTAGTCAGGTTGGTTAACTTAAACGAATTTACGGATAGGTGGCTAACTACTTTGATTTTTTGCCCTGGCAGCCTTTAGACGGACTTCCCAGGGCCAGGGTGCGGTTCGCTGTGTTGCATCTACAGTCCGTACTCCGTATGATACAGTTATCCGGAGTAGTTAGCTATACTCCGTAGGGGGGTGAAATCCTGCCCCCTGAAGGATTGATAACGGGCCAACACCAAAGCCGGCCGTCGTCTCGGGGAGCAAAGAAGGCTGGAATCAGCTGCGTTAGCTGGCTGCGGCCACGTATGTGCCCTCGACTTGAGCCTTAACTGGGACTCCCAACAACCCCGGTAGTCGACTGCCATGAAGCATAACGTACGGCGTACATATATGTATCAGCCGGGGGGCAGATCACACGATGCGCAGCGCCTTTGCATCTCCTGCAGGGCCGGGGTTTGGGCTAACGGCCGCTAGTGACCAACAGCAGTGTGCAGACAGGTCGCTTGGGCGTCGCTTGGTCCTCCTCTGCTGCTCGACAGTAAGACAATCATGCCCGGGCTAACTCGCTAGTTTGCTGCGGACGGGTCGCGGACCGTGGGCTCAACCTTCATGGAAATATGATAAAACTACCGCGCTGGCCCCCAGTTTCTTAACCACTCACGGATCCTCGCTGGTTTCTTGTTTCTGGGCCGCAGAGAGCCCTACGGTCCTCGGGGAGGGCCTAGAAGAAGCCCAGCCATCCCACCATACGGGAGTAAAGCCGCAGTTGAGTTTGCTTTCTTTTTCTTCTCTCTCTCTCTCCCTCCCTCTCTCTTCCTTCTCTAATCCTGCCCGGGGAACTGAGATTCCTACATGTTATGCAATGCAATTGACGGAGTATTCTCCACATGCTTGCCATCGAACCCTGTCCATCCGTGTTATTTTTAACTTGACAGACAGAAATGCCATTTATATATATAATAATACAACAAAGCCTGCACATATAGTTATATAGGAAGGTGTTATGATGTCATGCTTCTCAAGCACCGCTGGATCTGCTTGTGCATCTCCATCCTAGAACGCAATGCTTGTATCTTCTTTCCCCCAAGGTTTATCATAGTAGATGCATAACTATCCAGAACAGAGGAATGACTCGAGATCATGACCTTCAATATTGAGCCACTCAAAGCACCGGTTTGCTCTGTGGCTTTATCATACCGCCAACGGGACTTTGCGCTCACATCTCCACCATGTTCAATCACACCTCCTCGATACCGGTAAATCATATATATATATATACACTGTCCATGAGGTCGAGCGCTCGGTTTGACGCTTATCCAGCCAGTAGAACCCGAGTTTTAGAGACTTCCCGTCCGACGAGGCTTCAATAGGTTGGAGACCAAATAGCCCTCCCGAGTAACTTAGTACCGGTTGATGGAAGGAGAAAAATTGGACCAGTGGATGCACTCCGAGATGCAACCCGCTTCCGCATGCGGGTCGGACTTCCTCTTGTCCTCGCATAGCCTGTGATTTAACATAGTTTATATGATATATGGCGACTCTCTCTGCAGCCAATTAGGGACTTCTCTTTTTGGCCCAGCGGTTTGATACATGGCAAGAAAAAACAAGTAGTAAAAGAGAAGGAAGAGAGAGGGGAGAAATCTGGCAGAAATGTTGTAAGGAAGAGGAAAGGAAGGAAAGTGAAGCGGTGGTGGCGATGGAATTCACTATCTGAGGCTTCCGGAATACCTGATAGATCAAAACAACAGCCTAGTCGATCTACTATTTGCTATCGTATGATGGTACTCAGGCAGCAAAACCTGCAAAAGAAGAACCATATAAACCGGTTCACATATCACAGTAGCGAACCACTAGCCACACATTTGCACCTCATCCTGGAAGGTAGGTTCCGAGGATAAGTATCGGAGTATATAATGCATGTGTCTACTGCTTCTCATGGCATACGAAGCTTCTGATGGAGAATGGGAAATCCGGAGTGTTCCCCGCCCCTATGACAGCCGGTCCTTCACACGCGGGTAGTCTAACCCAATAAGTTAGCACAGAATGAGGACTTCCAAGAAGGAAACTCACTCATAGAAGACGCAACTATCTTGCCCTGGAGTCTGGACGGATCTATATGCAGACTAGAGGTTAGCTCCCGAGGTTCCTCGTGCCTTCGTCTTCGGACAGGTAAAAATTGTGGTAAAAATACCGGATTTGAATCCCATTGAAGAATGCACATTTGTTCTCCGTGTATTCAACTTCTACCGGTTCGCCATGATACTCAGGGGCAGGAAAGCCAGTCATCTTTTGTTACATCAGGGGGTAGCAACAGTTAGTTGGCATTATTAATAAGCCGGGGGGGTATTTGCTACCTGTCCACCAAGGGTTGTGGTAGCGCAGAAGCCGACGATAACAGCCCCGATAGTAGCGGTGAAACGCATGTTGGGCTCGACAGTAGAATAATATATCAGGAAGAACCGCCTGGAGTACGAAAATATCCGCTGGAGGCTTTACATCGAAGATGGAAGTTCTCTGAGAGGTTGTGGTCTTCGTCTCTTATACCTCTCTCCCTCCAACACGAGGTAACTACGTACTATACGAAGCTCCAGTGAGACATCGCCTTTGCTTCTCTTTGGGTGTGGCCATATTGTCGATATATTATTGGCAACAAGACTGATCAGCAAGATGCTGGAATGCAGGTGTTCTCCACCAAAAGAGAGGCTGTGTTGGAGTCTTCGTGTGCATGGAGGTTCTTCGTTATCAATCTGATTGATTAGACCACATCTTGAGTAACCATACTCCATGTTCAGTATATATAATGTGTTTTAATTGAAAGTCACTGCATCAAGTCCATCCTCGGTTTATTTTGATGAAGTGAGGATGGATGGAAGGAGGTTGTGATGCTGACTAATGAAAACAATACAGTATAATCAGACCCAGTGATCTAAACTTATTGACTAAGCAATTATTGCCTTGTTACTGTGGAGTCGAAGATAAATAACCTGTTTATACCGAGAAAAGTGCAATTCCACCAATAATATGCGTGGCATTGAAAGTCCTGAACTCTATTACTCATCCTAGCAAGCTGATGCAAACAGTGCAAACTCCGCTTGAGCCGCGGGCCGATGGTCGGAGCGGGAGAGCCGAGGTCGGACTCAAGTGGGATAAAGCTTCAAGGGAAGCTCGGGGCATCGTCAACAATCGATATAAAAGGTAAAAGGAACTGTCCATAGATATTCAATCCATACATCGCGGCGGGAGGCAGCATCTAACACGCATTTTGCACTATAATCGTCATTTTATCAGTCACCACAGGGGCATCATGGGCAAGTACAATATTGTTGTCTTCGCTGGAGATTGCTGCGGGCCAGAGGTACGTCCCCGCATAACAAGTGGGCGGCAGGGTTAGCTAATGATTGTTATACAGGTTGCTGCAGAGGGCATAAAGGTGTGTACTTCGAGTGTGCAGGAGGAGGAGAAGGCAGAATAAGAATAAGCACTGAAGTAGCTTGCCATACTAACGCGACAAACAAAGGTTCTGAAAGCTGTGGAGAAGAAGAGACCTGAGATACAGTTCACCTTCCAGGACCATCTACTAGGAGGAGTAAGCTGTGACCCAGTCTGCCATGTTTTGAAGGAATCCCTAGCTAACAGTTACACGATTCTAGGCCTCAATTGATGCAGCCGGAACGGCCCTTACAGACGAAGCTCTTACAGCAGCTAAGAATGCCGATGCCGTGCTGCTTGGAGCTGTTGGTGGTCCCAAGTGGGGCACTGGCGCAGTCCGTCCCGAGCAAGGAATTCTCCGCCTGCGCAAGGAAATGGGGACATTCGGCAACTTACGCCCATGCAACTTTGCAGCACCCTCGCTAGTTGATATCTCCCCTCTCAAGGCAGAGGTGTGCCGGGACGTTGATTTCAACATCATTCGCGAACTCACGGGAGGTATCTACTTTGGCGAACGAAGAGAAGACAACGGAGATGGAACCGCGTGTGATACCGAGCCCTATTCGAGGGCTGAAATCGAGCGGGTTGTTCGTCTGGCTGCTCACTTGGCTCTTCAGCATGACCCGCCACTACCTGTGTGGAGCTTGGACAAGGCCAATGTGTTGGCTACCAGTCGTCTTTGGAGGAAGGTGGTCACGGAGGTGATGGATAAGGAGTTCCCGCAACTGAAGTACGGCCATCATCTAATTGATAGCGCTGCCATGTTGATGGTGAAGAACCCTCGTGCTCTGAACGGTATTGTTGTTACCAGCAACCTGTTCGGTGATATCATCAGCGACGAGGCCAGCGTTATCCCCGGATCGCTGGGATTGTTGCCCAGTGCCAGTTTGAATGGTATCCCTGACGGCAGGACCAAGGTCAGCGGTATATATGAGCCTATTCATGGTATGTATATTCTTTTCTTCTTGCAGGTACAGTTGAACAAGCTAATAGCTGGTGCAACTAGGATCCGCACCGGATATCGCTGGGAAAGGCATTGTAAACCCCGTTGCCATGATACTGTCTGTGGCAATGATGCTTCAATATTCCCTCAACCTACCCGAGGAGGCCAAGATAATTGAAACCGCGGTCCGAAATATAATCGAGTCCGGAGTCAAGACCGGTGATATCGGCGGAAAGGCCACCACCAAGGAAGTTGGAGATGCGGTTGCTGCAGAGGTCGAGAAGCTGCTCTCGTAATGGTAGTCTCTTATAAAAAAGAGAAGAAAAAAAAAAAAAAGAAAATGTCTCCTGAATGGGTTTGAATTCATGCTTATCTAGGCTATGCAAGTACTAATGAGAAAAAAAGGGGGGGGGTATCAATAATTCAATGATTTGTGTGGATGTAGGCGTAACGGATCCGGATAATTTTTGTTGGGACGATCATCTTAGCTCTGGCTCCATCATCCAGTCTTCCTCGTCAAATTTGGGAGCATTCTCGGCTTCTAGCTCAGCTTCGTCAGAGTGCAAGACGCCTGCCCCGAGATCATGATGGAGCAGTTTCTGGCCATTATCACCCCTGCCCATGCGGGCGTAGTACTTGTCATCTCGAGCAAAGACCTGGAACCCGCGAACATGCGTGTCTTTGCCATTCTGGTGATTCTCACATACTTTGACCTGCAGCACCATCAGCTTCAAGACGTTACCGTCTGACGGGTCGTCATCATCGCCATCGTCATCATCTTGGAGCAGATCAGGGGTAAGGTTATCACTGTCGTCTTCGTCTTCGGCAGCAGATACATCGCTGTCTTCAGAACCGCTAGTCGCCTTAGACTTAGACTTCGCTGCCTTGCGCCGTTCCTCGCGTGCAGACAGCTTGCCTATCTTCTGATGCCTGCCTCCGACTCCCTCGAGGTTTATGTCCACCCATCCACAGGGCGTCTCTCCTTGCCACGTAGCAAATTCAACTAGATCGTTACCACCCATGCCAGCCAGAAAGACCATCTTTGTAGGGGTATAGCTCTCGTCGAGTTCGAAGTCTAGGTACACGCGTATCCGGACAATGGAGACGCGCTTGAAGAAGTGTAGGGAGAGAGTGTGTGGTTGTGGTCCGTCAGACTGCCAGAACTGGTTTGGAGAAGGATGGCGGAGAGCAGCCACGCCGCTGCCAGGCTTGTATGTCGAGACTGTCCACGATGCGAGAGATGATATTTCACGGAGATTAGGCGGTATAGGAGCTGAAGAGTCCTTTTCTTCTTCTAGATCTGGAGAAGAAAATGGTCAGCATTGTCTAGTCCAAAAGAAAAGAAGAATGATAATCTAGAACACACCCTCTTCATAGCTCTGGCCTTCAACAGCCTCTAATTCGTCTTGTTCCCCTTCATCATCGTCGTCCTCTTGCTCTTCTTCCTCCTCTTCCTCCTCCTCCGCTTCGTCCTGGTCCTCTTCCCTTCCAAGTCCCTCACCCGCCTCTTCGTCTTCGCCCAACTCGTCCTCGGGGTCTGATCCTGGAGTGACAGGCTGCTGCCCACGGGGTCTCTGCTGCGGCGTATACGACGGTAGAAGCTGGGGAACTCTCGCGGTTGAGACAGAGGCGCCGTCGCCTGAGGGAAAGGTCGGCGCGTAGTGGGTGGTGCGTCGTGGCATCGAGAGCTAACTATTCAATCAAAGCGAATAAAACGAGGGTATCAGAGTGAACCGGCTGCTCGATCGCGTCTTGATGAACCCATCTGGCGTCGTCTCTCATGTTCCTGGAGGCCGTAGCTGCGCAATTCCTCCCCAACGAGGCCGCAATGTTTATTCTGTCTCTGCTATCGCAACGTCGTCGATCCTGATATCAACTCTCGCCCTCCTTCCACCCGCCGCCTACTCAAAACGAGCTGTTGGCCCCCGCCTTACATCAAGTCAGCCCGGCTAGCTCAATCGGTAGAGCGTGTGACTCTTATACTCTTATAGCAAGTTTATAACG